TGGGTGGGCAGGGGGCAGCAGGTCTCTCTAATAGAAGGCTGTCTGTTACCGTTACTTTTGGTAAATGTGTCTGGACCCCAGCTCTGACATTTGATAAAGCTATCAACTAACCAACTGCTTGTAGGTTAATCACCGTTTTCCTGGGTTTATTCATTACTCATGACTACTTGAAAAACAGCTCCTGCCTGTCAGATGAGCTGCTCTGGTTTGTTGTCACTGGACATGTAGGTTACATAACATTTTCCTATGGTCCCTGACTGCACATGAGAGATTATTATGAGGAGGATGGGGCCAGGCTATCTGCAAGCACAGGGCTGAGGTTACCTTTGCTTGAGTATTGTCACCTGTTGGGTCCAAGTCCCTCCAGGGCAGAAACCTGGAGCCTTGAACCCTTACCAGCATAGCATCTATCTCAACCCACCACCCTGTTGGTGTGCCCAGAGGCTGGATTTGTCTTGCTTAAAGACTCAACAGGGCCCGAGACTTCATCCACTTCCTGGCTGGTGTTACCTGCCACTCCACTCCTTCCTATATAAGCTCAGTTCTCTCGCCGCCTATAAGTGGCAGCCTCTTGTAAATTAGTGGGCTTAAGGCCCATGCAAAAATGGTTTCAAATAGGCCTATATAAGCTCAGGGAGACAAACAAACTATGCATCCTATGTGGGGAGTGTGGTGGGTGAGAGTCCTCCAGGAAAGCTATAAACCTCCCTTGATTACAGGGAGGCTACTAGGTGCATACCAACTGCTTGCTCAGGACAAGAAATGAAAAACCAAGGGTGGGAGTGAAAGTCATAGGTGGATAATGAGGCTTGTGAGGGGGGATACCAAACAGAGGGCAGCAGCCAGCACCCTTTGCCCGTTGAACATATCCAAAGAGCGTGTGGATGCTGCCCAGTGAAACTGTCTGGAGATGTGCGTGGAGGAGTGATGGAAAGCAGCTGCACAACTTCCCTCTGGCCAGAACCTCCTTCCTGGTCTGGTGAAAGGCAAATTTGGCTAGTTTCAGGAGGAGGTTGACGAGGAGGTCCTGGGACTTTGTGGGACCTTGGATGGGAAGTGCGTAAAATAAGAGGCATGGGGAGAAGTGCAGCCAGAAGCTCAGGAGGATGTTCCTGAGGAAGTGACAGAGAGGCTGCACCCTGGCACACTTGTAGGCGTGCACAAGGATCTCCCTCTGTCCACAGAAGGGACAGGTGTTGGGGAGTTGGTGTAGCATGCCACATATGTGTCTGTGCAGACAGCTCTGTAGTAGTCACCAACCTATTGTATTTTACATGAATTCAAGATGAGATTTTCCCCCCATTTAAGATTGGGGGTAGGGGGCAAAGGGGGCAGGCTGGAGGCCAGGAAAAGGACCTCACCATGGCC